TAGAGCGCCTCAGTGTTCATGTTTCTATTCGAGCTCCTCCGTGTTCATGTTTCTATTAGAGACCCTCAATGTTCATGTTTCTATTAGAGCTTCTCAGTGTTCATGTTTCTATTCGAGCTCCTCCGTGTTCATGTTTCTATTAGAGCCTCTCAGTGTTCATGTTTCTATTCGAGCTCCTCCGTGTTCATGTTTCTATTAGAGACCCTCAATGTTCATGTTTCTATTAGAGCGTCTCAGTGTTCATGTTTCTATTAGAGCCCCTCCGTGTTTATGTTTCTTTTAGAGCCCCTCAGTGTTCATGTTCTATTAGCGCCCCTCAATGTTAATGTTTCTATTAGAGCCCCTCCGTGTTTATGTTTCTTTTAGAGCCCCTCCGTGTTCATGTTTCTATTAGAGACCCTCAATGTTCATGTTTCTATTAGAGCCCCTCCGTGTTTATGTTTCTTTTAGAGCCCCTCAGTGTTCATGTTTCTATTAGAGCCCCTCCTCTTTTTTTTAACTGTTTATGAATATCACATAGCTGAGACACTCGTGAACCTTTACAATATAAAAATATTAAAACAAAGAAATTTTTCTGAACTCAACTAAGCATTATCATATTCAAATAATTTACAAACAAAATATTTGTTAGTTCTTTTTTCAGCAAATAATAACACAAAAAAAACCCACTCATCTCCACCATCAAATGTTTTGCAATTTTCGTGTGTCCTTATATTAATGTTCACAACATTGGATACAACACATGTCCAATATACTGCATGGCTAGATTGCTGCTCTCAACATCTATGTATAGAGATGCCTCTATCTAGAATTAAAAAAGTATATAATGGGATAAATTGCAGGCAGACTATCTGGCTATTTATTAGATATGTAATTTCTGTAAATCTCCAATTACATTGGCACCCAATTAAATATACCTACATTAGGTGGTATATACACTACGATTCACATGTCTGCTGGGTCAAACACTTTGTTAAAGGAGGGTGGGGTGTGGAAGATTTGACTAAACCAGGTTGATTGCTGTTGACCTGCAGGCAGCTTATGGTTTGATTGTCTGAGAAGAGTTTGGAGGTCCTGGGTTCAAATCCTGGTCTAGTCATAGCATTTTTTCTTTCTTGCTACACATAATATTATGTACTAGCTATTATTAAAACAGGTAGTCTTGTGTCTAATATTATAGTGTTTCTTATTTAATGGTAGAAACCATGCTTTTCTATACTAATTAAAGATTTATTCTGGACTGTTATTCCTGTTTCAATTTATTCAGAAAGGAATAATGGCATCTTCTTGTAATTATAAGGTGACTTTAAAATCCAGACAGACCCGTTAAGGAAGACTGAATTACCTGTGATTGCCAAAAGTACAAGTTCTCATGGGCACTTTTCCTTAAAGACTGACCCCTAAATACTAGGAAGGACAATGAAGGGCCGGACTACCTAAGGTGATGTCAATGGTAGGATAAGGGCCAGTCCCTATTGCAATGCATGGCCATGGATCATAATGGGCCTTTAATGGCCCCTTGTAGGGACCTTGCTCAATGAAATCTCTGCAGAATCTGAGCCTTGATATCTTGTAATGGCCACATGTTACCTGTGGCTGGTTTGGTTTGTGAACATGTGTTCCAATATCAACATATTTCAGCCACCTATATCACCCTGGGGAATGGTGGAACATGCTGACCATATTGTAAAGATCATTATCTATTTCATATTCGTTTTGGCTGGATTTTCAATATATAGAGTTTTACGTAGCTCAGCGGCCATATCAAAAGGATCATATAAGTGCTAAAAAATCCATTTTCCCTAGTTTTTCACTAACTGGTGGAAGTTTTTCAATATTCAGTGCTGAAAAGTTCAATGACTTCCCTGAAAAGATAATGATTCTTTTGAATCATTCTATGACCTGATTTCAATAAAGCTAAACTTTGAAGCCATTCCAGAAGCTTCTCATCATTTAAACATCCATCTTCCATGAGTCATATTTAATACATTTACTTCACACTGATTTTTCCAGTTCATGTTCTAACACTTCCATCCCATTGAGTAACCTCATTACCACAAAACATTTCACTGATCCGTATGTCATGGAATTCCACTAACAGCTCTTAAACCATTGTAATTAATTTCTTTGATAAATCCTTCGGTTTCGTTTTAAGCAATAGTGAAAAATACAATAAATCCGAATGTTTCAGAAGCTACATACATCTAGAATTTTTTTCCAGTTATACATGTGTATTAAGAAAAGATTTATATTTGGTCATCAAAATCATATTTATCAAGTCCCTGTATCATAAAACGGAACAAAATTGAAAGGACATTATTCATAGGCGTCCCTACGTGCATATAACTTAAAAGTCTAAAGACCTAGCCACATTCTTAATGAAATATCACATTTCTAGAAGACCACATACGTTTATCTTGCTTTCCTCAAGGTATACTCATCCAAAATATATTTCACAAGTCAAAATATCCAAAAACATATCTATCAACCTCTTGTTCATAAAAAAGACATAGTCAATGATTTTAGCTACTGGTGACAGGAAATTTTAGAGAACATGCTCCAAGGTCCACACCTTATGAAATTTATCATATAACGAGTGTAAATCGACTATGTTAGAATTATGAATGTAAATTTACCGGAAAAACTGCATTAAATAGGTATTTATCATACTGAATGATAACTACGGAACTTAAGAACGGTAAAATTTTAACGTACTTGCGGTAAATCTCACTGAAATATTTTGAAAACAAACAACAATGTAAAATGAAAAATTGATCATGACTGACTCATTAACTTCTTCCTATTTCTGTATTAAATACCTTATATAGATTTGTCTTGTGGCTCTTTGTGAAATATTTATTTGTTAATGCTACGTGCATAGGCCACATGTACATCAACAGTTATAGCTATATATATATACTCCTATGATAAATACCTTCAAACTATGTAGGGAATACATTTTCCATTTATAAAAAAATTCAATGAATGTATGATAAAACAGTCAAAGACATTTGTTGAGGTCAACATTCGGTTTTCTTAACCCAAGAAAATGGAATACTCTCTAAATGTCTTCAAAGTTGAACAAGGTAAAACAATTTCCAACTATCTACAAAAACGCTTTCTTAATTATGTGTTTGTAAATAGTTATAAGAGAAGTTTAATGAAATGTTGGAAAACCTAAGTGCAGACATTGTAATATTTACTTTTGACATTTCACCTCCAAATGTTATAATATCAATATAATACATGTAATATACATGTAATAATTCTGGTGACAATCCACCACAACATGTAACCTTTGAACTTCAGCTTCTGTTACTGTGAAATCAATAACGACTTCACTTTATTTTTAATTATGTGACAATTAGCTTTGACCTACATATTATTCTTTCCTGTAAGATTGACTCTGTTGTTTCCCATTCATTTCACAGATGGACAGATGTTAACCGTCCCAAAAAATTAATAAAAAACATAACCATATATGTGATAGGCTTAAATGGGGAAAATTGCACAGGGTAGGTGGAAGGGGTGTGATTTGTCACATTTGACTTTTGGTGGGGAGGGATGGGGGGTGGTTGGGAGGGGTTCTGTCCCCTGGATCCATCACTATATAATTTCACTGCAAAGATTATGCAACTACCCTGCAATGTCTTCATTACATTCCAACCATACTCATACATTTTATAAAGTGTATATTGTTGATGATGTTTTTTTGCAATTTTTAGTTCTTAATGACTAATTCTGCAATCTACATCAAATTACTGCATTACATCAGGAGCGAAAATAACTAAAAAGTGTACCAATGAATACCTGAGATAAATAAAAAATCAGTGTTAATTACAGATGAAAATAATTACAAAGATGTATACCATTCTAGTGACTGGAGCTGAGCTGACCACTCTGATGTAACCAGGTCATTATAAAGTACTTCCTACTTCACAGTTATATCCTGATAAATCTAATTTAATCAGACATATATGAGTAAGTCTGACCAGTACCTGTTAGGGCCTAATCATGTTTTTTGTAGTTACTCAGTCTAAATCAAAGGGTGACCTTTTATGGGGCAGCTATAACTCATGTCTCACCTGTCTGGTCTGGACTCATAGAGGTACACCTCAGGTAATTACTACCTGTGTTACACCAACTGTACAACATGTTACAGCCACATTAGTGTCACAGCAGATTAATTGAGTCAAAAGGGGGAAATCCTTATTAGGAGGATGAGAGCATGAGGTCAGCTGTGAAAAGTCTAAATACAGGATATTATAAAATACACACACTATATTTCAATAATGAGGATTTTGTTATATTATCTGATTTTAATTAAAATGAGAATTTAATGCACGTCACAATATGAACACAATATTAAATGTAATATAATGCATTGCTAATTAGTTTAATCAGCTTTAAATAGTATTCAAGCCTGGAGAGAATTTGCACTTCTTTTATACACAAATAACCTGGGGGTAATAATGAGCTTTAAGAATGAGGTTGGAGGTCACAGATAAAAGGTGAGCCAGTATTAATGAGGATGACATCATTTAAATATGCAGAGGATGTTATAGGTACACATGTAAAAGGTGGGTAATACTGGCAAAACATTCAATTTATAATACACTGAAAATTTGAGGAGGAATTTTTACCAGAGAAAAGATAGAAATTACTAAACAAAAACGGAAAAGATAGAAATTACTAAACAAAACAATGTATGTTATACCCTATATGATGTATAGATCTGAACCTAATACCCAGGTAGGTGCACACCTTCTACATGTTAAAACAGCAGGTGTCCTCTCACAGGAACATCTTTTATATCAACACGCTTTATGGAATTATATGTCAGAAACACTTTTCTCTTCATACTTCTGAAATCTATCTCAAAAAAGTTCTTAAAACTATCTTAACTATCTCAAAAACACAGAAGTTTATTTAAAATGAAATGGAAATTTGATTCCAAATTTTGAAATTTGACAGAAACAAAGGATGTATCCTACCTGTTCTTCATGGCAGGGCTGGTTCCATATGCCTGTATCGACCCTATTTGTTCTGTTGTCAGGGTATGGGGATAGTAAACTTGTTTCTGTAATTTGTAATTGTAGCTGGGTTAGACAATGATCAAACAGTGAGGTTCACACTTATCTCTGTACACTGTAATCTCTAACAGTAAACCACCCCTATCTTCTGTCATCAGCCTCCAGGCCATAGGATACACACGACAAATATTCTACACTAAGTTGATATAATTATCAAATTATTTATTACACATTGTAAGGCAATTCAATTTTCTTTTTCTTTTGATTGTAAATACAATACAAAGAAGTGTTAAGATTGATTGGGACTTCAAAGAGGACTAACCCTCCGGGCCGCGCTATACACTGACCAGAAATTCGCTGAGGTGAGACACACTGTTACACCTTCAGAATAGGTTACCTCACAGCCATATAACACATGAGTTACCTCCCTTGTTAGCCGAGTTGTTACACCTTTACTCCGATCAGTGTTTAGCACATCGTGTGGTTATAAAAATGGCTGAGACTGTTTGATGTTCATGCTTTTGTGTGTCAGATTTCTTCTTTTATTGTTTTCTTTCACAGAGGTTGTTTTTATTTAACCTCACATAGGACACCATTGACTCTGTATTATATCTACGGTCACCTAGGTCGAGTGATCTTATTTGTAATTAACATACCTTGACTTTTTACCTGTAATCTTTGGTAACTGTTCAGTGGGCCACCTGGGTGCTGGCGGTTTTGTCCTGGGCCAGACAATGGGAGGACCTTTGCTCTGTAAACATATCAGAGATGAGTATATAGTGCTGAGCTGTAGAGTGATGAACCCTACAGATAGTTTATATCTACCTACAGTGGTCTGACATGATAGATCAGGAAAATCAGGAATTTTCATATTTGTGGGTATTAAACAGACACACTGATATACAAACTCTGGTGACAATTTCTATCAGCACTAATCTTAAAATATATTTCAATCAAATAGTAAAAAGTACATACATTCTTCGTTTTAGGAAATTCATTTTCTAACTAAATAAGAGTATCAAAGGTTTGAAATATTAAAAGTAACAGGATATGTAACGGCACCTGATATCAATTATACACATGAAGCGGAACTGGACTGGGTCAATCGTTAGCAACCAGCCCTAGGTAGGGAGCTCAATGTGTAGAGCTTCTGTCTAGAGATTGGAGGGTCCCGATTTGAATCCTGGTTTGGCTGTTGCATGGTGATGCCTTTCGGACAAAGACAGAAAAACGAGAGAGGAATGAAGTGAAACTGGACTGGGTCGCTCGTCTACAACCTGCTAGCTCAACTGCAATTGGTAGAACATCCATCTAGAGTTTGGAGGGTCCCAGGTTCGAATCCCAGTCTTGCTGTTGCATTTCTCTTCTGCAATGAACATCATAAAGCTGCTTGGATAATTGTGTCGGGGGGGAAAATGGGATAGCGAAATTGAAAATTTACACCAACTTTTTCTTTTGGATAATTTTTATATGGTTTACAATATTTAATCATCACTAAAATACAAGAAAGTAGTTGCCATACCCTGTATCCTATTGACTCATTAAAACATTTCATTTATATGATTTTTTTATTATATTAAGTAGAGCGTTTAATAATACATTCTCCAATAAGAGTAAGATATCTGTTATTTATCAGGAAACTATTTAAATATTTTTTATATGAACAAATACATTTTTGAGTACATTTTCTCTACGACAATGGAAATGTAACTGTGTCAAAAAAGGAATTAGAAGTGTTGTGTCCGACACCATATTCTAACGATGTCAGCTTCGACAACAAACTGTGTACCATTTTCTTTACATTTTGAAAGAAGACATTTCGACTACTTTTTCTTGTTTTCTAAACTGATTAATGTTGAAAATTTAAAAAAATTGGTTAAAACAATTTCATTCTTTTTTTTGAATAATTGAAAACAATTTCATTCTTTTTTTTGAATAATTGAATGAGGCACATGTAAAATCAGATATTTTCATGGGGCCCAAAAAAGGCAAATAAAGAGCCTATATAAGAATATATTGTACTGACACTCATATAAACACGTCCTGTTTCTGTATACATTCCTACACAATGATGCTGCAATTCATTATTTCATGAATCAACCCATGTTTGTCAGTATATCGGATGTCCTAGAGTATTAAAACTTTCAGTTTATTGTCGGGCAAGATCTGCAGTAATTGTACAGCATTTGAAATATAATGCAATGTATACAAAAAAACTGTACGAGGAGACCCTTTGATAAAGATCGGACTCAGAAAGTCAAACGAGGAGTATGAATCAGTTTTCCCGCCCATTTGATCACTTACTCATCAAACTCTGTGCACTACCTCAAAGAATACAGAGTTCAAACCCTAAAAGACAATACTGAAGAGCAGCCCTAGACTCTCAAACAAACACCAGGACAATACTGATCAGAGGCAGTAATACTTAAATATCCAGGAAGGTGATATCCCATATCAAGGTTGCTTCCATGGCGATACCTAGTGCCGTGAATGGGTCCAATCATCTTCTAGTGACCAGTCAAGCGCTCATGTAATCGTATCAAGTGACTACTAAAAGATCTTGACCTCAAGCTATCTTTTTTCACAATCTTTCAGTGCAAATTAATTCAATCGTGAGATAGTACGAGATATAATCTTTTATCAATTTCCTCCCATTGTCTATGCTGACTGTATACTGCAGTTTTGACAATGGTTCAATCTTGCTGGGTTCGCTGTAAGACAGTCTGTGATCGAACATTGACACGAGGTCGAAGCTTTATCTCCAGAAGATGTATAGGGTCATTTGCCTTCCATGCAAGTCAATGACAATGTCTTCCCTTTTCTAAAATGCTAAAATCCCCTAAAAAAACGTCTGTTGGAGTTAAATGGAACAAATGAAGTCAGAATTTATGGGACTGTGTAAATGTTGTTCAGATGGTTTCTGTCACAGTTACGACAAAGGCTGTGAATCTCTGTGATCACAAGTTAAAGGTATTCCTGTAACCCCTTTGATACCAGTAATCACCCATTTACAATCTTTAGGTTGGTGTTTAGAGTACTGTATTACCATACATTTGTCAAACCAGTCGACTGACTATATGTCCTTTTTTCTTGTGATTCAATGCTTTTTTTTACCCCTGAACATTACAGAAATATATTAAGGACGAGGAAATAGTTTTCAGATGACCTGGAAAGAATCTCCAAAACATTCTAAAGACTACTTGTTTAGAAGTTAAAGGCATCACCAACAGATGGTAAATATAATGTACTAATTAACATAAAATAAAGATATATCAAAGCCTGATTTTCACCTGTGTAACAGTCTATTTAATGCAAAATGTTTTGTCAACTTGATTTTACCATTTTGGTTCAATAATGTAGTATCCATTAATGTTTTTTTTGTTAAAAAAAATGAAAAGGTTGGATTATATGAAACTTTATATCAAATAATCAATTAAAGCAATTAAACAGAAATCAAATGAATCACACATACACTGGATTGTTCCAGCGGAATCGGTACCGATGGCAATCACTTTTTACTCTCGCCATCAAACGAGCCGACCACAACATCCAACGCCGATCTTTGAAGTCGACCATGGAATGATGAAAATGTCAACATGTATTATTCTGGAAAATATTGATAATATGTTTTAAATGGTAATAGTATGGGTATAAATCAATAGTTATCATTATTAGAACTAATGGTCATCATTAATTATGAATTAATACACATGCCACCCGTTTATACCTATCACTACTTACACCTGTTGACCTATACGTGTGAGTGGATTTCAATCAATTTCCCAGAATTCCGTTATTATTACCTGTCCATTACCTGGTATTTCTGAAATTTCACTGTCACTAAAATATACAAATGTATTTATTTTACAGTTTCAAACATCCAATTTTGTCCATGTTGATAAGTCAGAGGCCATCAAAAGTGAAAATGTAGGTTATGAAATATGCCATCAATAATTGTGATAAAAAAACCAACCAACATTTACATCAGAGCAGAACTCTTTCTTTGTATAAATATTCATAAGAAAACATTCCATAAGTTAATGTTTGTCTCTTACAAGACTTTTCTAATGCCCCATTTACCACTGTTTGCCCCTATTGACCCATGAAGCAAGGCCAGCTAGCCCTTTTCTTTAGCAAATATAAATCCACATCACATTGAAATATCTGCTGCCGAATTTGGTTGTAATAGGCCTTGTTTTTCTTAAGAAGAAGTGATTCAAAGAAAAGGCTTTACAGACAGAGGACAGGTAGACGACAGGCTCTTTTAATTAAGGATAATATCCTACCAAGGGGTTGCTTTTTTTGAAATTTAAAGCAACACAACATCAACACAATAAGGTCCAACAAGATCAAATTGTAATTGACAGATGTGTTAGTTTCTAGAGATATAAAAGTTGAAGAAAGGGGATAATAAAGAGAACAAGATTATATAAAATCAAACCATATAGTCGTAGTTACATTTGGAACAGCAATTGTATGTAACTTTTTTATTTCCTTCAAATCAACATTTGTGTAGGTCATTGATTATGGATCTTGACTTCCTTATACGTGTACATGTAAATCAATTTTTGTATAGAACAGAAACTCATTTCTTCAATAACTAGAAAAGCCTATTTATCTCACATGTAATTTCTTGAGTCTGTTTCCTTAAAATCATCTACTTTATCAGGTCACATACTATATACATTTTTATAGATATTTAACAGTAAATAAAAACAGACTTGAATTTATTTATACCCTTTGATAACAGAACAGTTATGGTGACAAAAGTACAATTTTATTTACAATTTAGAAGAAATGCAGTTTTATATCATTTTAAGAGCTTTCTATTGAAATTAAAATCGTATTACTCAAATTGTGTCACTATGACATATAGTACAGTTAATAATAACCTCCTCTGTAGTTCATATACACGTAAATAGTCCAGTATACACCTATATCAGTGATTGGTACTATGAAGTCAGACACATGAGGTAGTTCTCTACAGCTGTCAACTTATGATAACTCATCTGGCTTCTTATCACCTGCATTCATTAAATAAACTTAATCAAAATTTAGAAATTAAAGATCTCCATCCTACTGCAAACAAAACACAAGGTAACTTTGCTGTAGATTTTTTTATGCAGTAATTATAACCTCCCATTACTTTTGTTTTGGATATAACCGTAGCACGTAGCACGACTGAGCTAGGATCTTTACCCGACCAGGTAGCTTAGTTGGTGTAGAGTGACGGTATAATAATCTGAGGTCAAGGGTTCAAATTCTGGTCTGGCCCCATCATATTTTTACACAAAACTGACAATTGTCGATTTTATTTTTTATTTCGTCTTTGCCATTTTTTTTCTTTCTTCAGAAAAGTCCCAAAAGATATGGTTTTCTTTTCAGAAATAATTCATCAAAGCGATAACAATAGTTATGTGGAAAAAAAAGGTCCCAATGCATAGTCAATTTTTGGCATAACTACAGTTGACCTTAATACAGAAACAATACTACTCCAAATCAAGCTAACTAGGCTTTCTGATAAGATCCTGTTAAGTTGTTAGATCTATAGTTTTACAGGAAGGATCTACCCAGAGCTGAGATACCTGGCCCCGATTATTCTCATGCCTTGGCTTCGGCCAGTTTTGCATAAATTATCACCCACATGGCGAAAGCCTTCTTTAGAATTTATTTTTCAGCTGTACCAAAATTTCTTTAAAAAAATCTTTAAAAAAATGGAGAATGGGAGGAATTTTATGGAGCATAGTAAAAAGATATTAATCTTAAACTTACCAAAGGCGAAATTAATGTATCCTCATCAGCGACCATCTTTCATTCTGTCGACTGCTCATCATTTCTAAATTACTAGCCATTTTTACCCCAGACATATCCAAGCCACACAAAGATTCTCCAAAATATGATAAATGAAGTGCCATCTTTTTTTAACTACAAATGAGAAAATATATGTTTGAAATGAAAATGCATAATATTGTTATCATTTGACAGGAAAAGTACATTTGTTTTAGGAAATGCTCTCTTCATTCTGTAGTATTCCAAGTCACCATGAAATATGATATTATAATATGAATCAGAACAGTGAAGGATTTGACAATGTAAAACTTGATGATTACTTTAAAGTTCTCTAAATTTTAGCAGGTGATTCCTGCATCTTTCACATGTAGTCATCTATATAAAACACTTAGGTGCATGGTCGGGTGGTCGGGTGGTGCAGTGGATAGCGCAGTTGCCTTTCATCAAGGCGCCTGGGGTTTGATTTCCCGATCGGATGTGAATAGTTTTCACCAGGTACTCCAGTTTCCTCCCACAATAAGACCCTACGTGCACTTACATCTGACATTTAGACATACTGAGTACTTACTACAATACAGCTCAGAACTTTGTTATTTTGAATATCAATATAGGCCTGTTCATATTGCAAGTCAGTTTTCGGTCAGCCGTCTTTCAGCTAAAAAAATAAATAAATACACATTACAGTGCAAATTATCAAAAAAAAAAAAAAAGTTTCACATTGATTACTTTCATGTAAAGAAATAATTACAAATTTACAGATCTTCTGACAGCAGGAATATCTCCCATAGTCCAAAGCAGCTACTGATCTTAATCTTACAATTAATAACAATTACCAAGTACCGTTTTGTAGCTAATCACAGAGTTCAGGAATTAATGAATGAATAAATGAATGAATTAATGAAAAAAAAATGTTTATTTCCTGTGAGACATGGGTTCAATTTACAAGGCTGGCAGTCCCTGTGAAGAAGGCCTCAATCACTATCATCTTTGTTATATCAGTATCAGGTTTTTAAATATCAGTGAATGGATTGAATCAGACATGGTGTAGAAAAAAAATTATAATTTCGTAATGTGGAATAAGAAAGTGTTTCTTTGTTTTTGTAGGCTAGATACTGAGTAAAAAACTATCACAAATTCAGTAAAGTGAGTATTTCAAACACAATCTTTACCTGGGAATTGACTTTTTTTCGGGGACATAGACTGGAGATAATCTTGAAAATTATGAATTTTTGGTACCTAAAAATGATAAACTGTATGTATACCAGAATCCACATGGGATGTACAAGTGTTGTAAATGCATATTTTAGTTGTAACAATCTGCTACTGTTTTATGGTAGGATAACCCAGGATCCTTGATACCTATAAAAGGAACGCCATCAGAGATAACACAAGGCTCTACAGAAACAGCTGTTGGTCAGATACAACATTTCTGGGTCAACAACTGCATTACGATTGATTAATGGGTCACTTTTTAAAATAAATTCACTTTCCCTCTCAGCAGGTCAGTAACATTGTCTGGGCCTTAACCAGTTAACTTGTCACACCCCTAGTCTTCAAACATCTTTAGTCGGCTATAAACAAACATTTCCCTCGTTTTCTCAGCAACAAAAGTGGGAGATGGTGTCTAGCAGCGTTTTGGAAAATGAAACATTGAGGATCTCAGTGGTGTTCACACACCGCTGCCTCGGGGCCTGGCACTGTAATTAAGGGGCCACGCCTCTAACTAGCCCCTAACACTTTTAGTCACAGGAACATCTCCTGGGGACAGTTTCACAGTACACTGGGCAGTTCCGTCAAAATACGACTGAACAATTCAACAGACAGTTTAGGACAGAAAAGATCAAAGTGTGTCCCTGTCTGAGATAACGTCAGGAATGAGCCCGAACAATGCACGTTCATTACACATCATAAAGCAGATGACTTCCAAATGAATGAACAATAATTTTTATTTGCGAAAAATAACAAATCTTTAAGACGGGAGTGACTGGTCAAGTTATTAAATAGGACAGCGAGGGGTTTATGGTCGAGTAATGACCATATTTGTAAGTCCTTTACCTATAATTTGTCAACTCTGATGAGCACCTCCATAGCAATGTTGCCATTGGTGAAATACGATACAGTGAGAACATTCAATTGAAAAGTCTCTCTCATTTCACGGGCACAGGTCCAGCTAGAAAATTGGATAATTACAGAGCTATAGGTATCCACTTTACAAAACGTGAGTTTGAGGAAGTACAAACTTCTAACACTGTAATTTCTTTAACTGGAGGCTTCCTCACGTCAAAATATTAATCATCTCCGGCACCCATTTCATACCCAATATAGCGGGTAGATCTGTATCACCATACTCAACACAACTAGGAGATCTATATCAGTTGTGAAAATCAAGTTTTGTTTGGTACTGAAAACTTGATGATTTGAAGATAAATGATTCATTTTGCCTTTAATTCTTTTAAGCAGAACCAACATAATATAACATGGTCAAAATACACATGGTGATAATATATGGTCCTACTACACAGGTAGACATATGATCACCATATACAGGTAGTCATAGGACACGGGTCTATGACTGGTCAAATTACCCTTAAGTAAAAATCTATGGTCAACATATAAATACAGGTTTAATTATTTCCTATGTAGCATAACAGCCTAGGTGTGTAGATTTGCATTTGTCAAAGTCAAAATTCTAAAATTATTAATGGGGCACCCAAACAACTCCAATTCAACATAAATAGTAAATAGTAAACAACTTATAGATCTT